TACGGAGACAAATGTGACTCCTTCTATCTTTACTGCAGTGAGATCTGGTGATGTCTCGCAGATTGCTTGCTGTTGGCAATGGATCCCTTTTCGCGTGTAGATAAGGGAGCGTGGCCTTGAAGAGTTAGCAGCGACACGGGGAGGCATATGCCTATCGAATCCGGGATGCGACTTGGTGAGCCAGAAGCCGTCCTTGTATTGAGTCCAGGGTTCTGGATGAGTAGGACATCGGTTCCTGAATCCCAAGCGGATTGCAGGATTATGTCCGTAGCCGGGTATCCTCTGCCCAGATTAGCGCAGAGGAACGAGATTGTTGTTGCCGTTTTTTGAAGCTCGGTTAGGTTGTGATCCCTTACGGGCATTGAGCTACGTTTATATTTTCGTTTTCAGCAGTAGCCTCGGTGGCTTTCTGCTTTGCTTCCATCTCTCTGATCGAAGCATTCCTTTCTTTTTGACCCTGCTCGCGGATCACCGACATCTGGTCCCTTGTGCGTTGCACCGTCTTCCCACCAGCCCGTGTCAGCCTAGCCATACAGTTAGGCTCAGTTGCAGCATGTGGCCCGTGGCAATTGATGCACCTTGGAACAGCCTGTTTGCACTCAGTAACTTTGTGCTCAATTGAGCCACAGCGGGTGCAGCGCTCTGCTCGTGAACAAATTTTACTTGGGTGGTGTCCCCAGCATCGGTTGCATTGCGCAATTTTGAGCTTGCGCTGGAGTTCGTGAAGGCGCCCGCTTTCTTCAAACAGTCTTTCTCCAAGTTTCGGTTTTCCTGTTGCGAAGTGCAACACTCAGTCCGTTGACGGCCTGGCCATGCTAGTAGCGAAAGCACGAGCTGAGGTTGGTCTAACTCCTGTTTTGAGAGCTGCTTCTTCTATTACCATCTCTGGTGTCACTATGGTGGGCCCTTCCAGAGTGTAAAGCTTGTCTGGGATATTCGGTGCCAGGACTGATATCCAGTTGGAGGCGGCTTCCAATTTCATTTCAGAACTGTCTAAGATGGATCCTCCTGAGAGAAGTGCACCTCTAGCTCCTTCCCCTTCGGCTTGTATTGCGAACCCTGAGTTCACGACAGTGACCTGTTTGATTGTCGAGTTGGCCGGACGCAGCTTGCTAGCTAGGCTAATCTTTACGAAGTAGGGTGACATACGTCTCCACGGGTGGTCAGGTTTGAGGCGCAAGAATACGCGCTCGTCAGGTCGCTGGGGGTTTGTTGCTGGAGCTTTAGGCTTCGGCGCGGAGACGGGCCTCACTGGCACTATCTTGAGTGTTGAAGTTGGAGCCACTTGGTTTGCTGGCTTGTTTCTTTTTCCCAACACCTCGGTCCAAGATTTCTCTGTAGCGTTGTTGTTGGTTTTGTTTGAGCCCTAGTTGGGCTGGAGAGTTGCGGTTGTGGCTACCGGCCTTTGTGGTGCCGGTCTATTCTTTTCTCTGGCAAGGATCAGCACTGGACGTATGACGCTTGCAGGACTTTGTTTTGGAGGCTCTGTAACTTGAGCCGGGTTAGATGTGTTAGTATGGCCGCTTGCAGCCTTTGGGGGAGCGTTGGCGTCTGCTTGAGATGGGTTGCCCCATAGAATTTCCAGTATCTTGCCCTGAAGGGCCAGTAAGTCCTGATCAAGGAGTTTTCGAAGTCTCTCGTCAGTGACTGGTTCCAACAGCTTGCAGAACCCGATGATGAAACGCTCTGCTTGTGCAGAGCGCGTCTGGAATATCCTGCCCTGTTCGGCGAGGAATTCGGCCGCGACAATTTGAGGCGACGGAGTTTGTTGGTGGGGCGAGCTTCGATGACTCTCCTCGTAGATTGGCTCTACAAATTGTTGGGTGGGTGGTTGTGGTGGCGGTCGTGGCCCGTTAAGGACCATTTTGACGTCTTGACGCGTCGAACATTGAGTGGGGAGGGGGGGCCAGGGGCCAGCCTCTGCGGAGGACTGGGGCGGCATGGGTGATTGAGAGATGAATTTGTCAGTAAAATGACGTAGGTAGAATGCGATATTATCACTTGGCGGACAGCTGGTCGGACTCTTTTGTGATGGCTCTCTCTGATGTGGTGATTCTTGTTCTCTAGTGCTACGATGGTCTCGTAGCATGGTAACATTAACCAATTCATTCTTATATTCGCTTTCATCTTTGAAGATTCACGTGACATTCACACGAAGACCTCTCTAAGTTTTACAAATAATAACAATATATATATTTCCACTTAGAACTTCTCAAAGAAATTGCTTAAAACTAGTCACAGGGGCATAAAAATCGACCAGCACCAGGGTTCTGGAACACGAAACTGCTACACTTCCAATAGAAATCTACTTAAAGCAACAAAGGGTACAATATATAGGCCGTTCCAATTTCCGACAGGTCCAAAAAGCTATTCAATCTCCATGTAATATGATCAAGCTGCCTAAAAGAGGAAGAGAAGATATTCGAGCAAATAATAGAAGAGCAGACCTTGCCTACTGGAAAGAGATTGCGGAGAGGAGAAATCTAAAGAGTTACAGAAAGAGGCGCTAAATATTGCAGCATACCTAGAATGGGCGAAATCTTGGTCTACCCCTAAGCGAAGTCGACAGCCCCAAAAACTTGCTACAGCAGATCCTGAAACTTGGAAAGCAGCTAAGTTCTATCAATGCCGACATACTGGACGTCAAAGAATAAGTTTCCAGAAAACTCCTCTTACTCTTCATAAAAACCTGACAAGGGCCCAAAGTAGCTTAGCAATCCAAATTCGAAGCGAGCATATCGGGCTCAATTCGTATTTGCATAAAAGAAAAGTACCAGGAGTCTAAAACCCATGCTGTCCGTGTGGCTACTAATCACAAAATCCCAAGCATATGATCATGTCCTGCCCTAAATGGTCAAGCGGTAGGGGTGAGATCTGGAGACAAGCCAAAGACCGGTCCTACGAAGCCATGATAGACAATCCTGGTGATATTAAAAGAATTACGCAATGCATTCTTAGTCACGGTTGGATAGATCAATTCCGCATGACAAATGCAGTCGAAATGCTGATTAGGGAACGAGGCAGGACTGGCACAAGGTTGGGGTCATTACAGGGGACGTGATTGGTACATACAGACGGCACTACAGTGTAACTGTGCTTCCTCAAGGATAAATTGCAAATTTCAAAGATACAAATCAGGAAGCTGGGGAGGTTTTTATCGAGAGGTTTCCTCCTATGTAAATATATAGATAGGTTTATAGCCACCTGCATGGGCCCATAGGGCGCCAAATCAGGATAATGAATACAAATCAAATATATATATATATTTTTTTAAATCATTTAATGTGTATTCAGCTATAGAGTTATGACACATGACCGGTGCTATGTATACATGTTGGATGACTCTTTTGACGTTAGAGACACTCATACTCTGGATTTCATTCGCAAACACCACTATGAGGTATGTTCGCTTACACAAACAGTCGACCCTCCTCTGTAAGTACCCGCCAAAGGGAATTTCGAAACCTTTGGTTATCCAAGCATACCTTCGTCATCCATGCATACCAGCGCCGCGATAAAAGTGGTTGTGTTTTGCCGGATTTGAACCAGCGATCTACTGTCTCGAGTGGGATATGTGTTCAAGCTATCCAGACTCTACTTGGCAGACCGGCCAAGACGATGTACCACCGCACCATCCAACCATGACGGTGTTTATGGTGTTGCCTGCACTCTCGCAACCAAAAACTTAGCACGCACAAAGCTCAATCTGTAAAAACACCTTGCCAAGATTCAAAATTTCACGCCCGTCAAGAATGTATCCATCCTTTGCATGATCTTATCAACTTGTCCTGATCTCTCTCACGTCCATCTCAAAGAACAGTCTCCCAAATTTGTGCGCTACGCTTTGTGTCCTCCGTCGGGTATAAATATCGGCGTGGGCATGTATTTGGTGACCGGCTGAGGCCAGAGAAAGTCGACGAGAGGTGTGATCATTGAAACGAGGATGTACTAGGTCGTACTTGTAGACTTGATGAGGCTTAGTTGAGAATCGGACTATTTGGGAGTGAAAGATTGACATGGTGGAGTAAATTGAAATTTTGCCTCGTAGGCTAGCTTCTTTGATATTGTGAAATTTGACTGAACTTGGCTCTGGGAGAATATTTCACTCCCAGGTTCGTAGAGGACACCGCGGACAGGTGTTTAGTCTATGAGAGGATAAGAACGAGTATAGAAGTTAGCCTAATCAATTAATATTTTATGAGCCTGCCGACAGTAATTGATATTTAAAAATGAGGAATACATTACCTAGGAGATAAGGCATTCGGTTTAGAGTGCTGTGAAGCTTCTCGGGAAATGTGATGTTTTGTTACATATTGTGTTATCACAGAAAACTGCATCATTTAATATAAATATATACATAGAATCATTATCTTCTGCGTATTACGAAATTTATGTACACAAAGGTAGAACAAATAAGAGCGCTTCTTCATCTCTGTTTTATTGATGGGAAATAAAGTTGGCTAACAGAGTTTTACATAGACTGTGATGTGAACTGTAAACAAACTTTTTCGTCAGTCAAGGCACTGAGCCTCGATGAAATGTCAAACATTTGATACCCAACATTTTTTTATCGTACATAAGTATAACTACACTTGCCACCGACACCTCCACACAAAAGAGCATGGCGGCGGCTTTGAGATTACCTTTGCACTATTCAGACACTCTCATCTCTAAAACAATGGCGGGGAGCACCCTAACTTCAGCTTACTTCATTAGCTAGGCACGATACTTGGTTTTTAGGACCAGTAAATGTAGGTCTACCGCCGACTCATATCATTCTGCAATGGATGATTAATAGGTGGTAGATATTTCAGGCCGAAATAATGATATTAGTTCGGCTGACTGGTTAGAACAAGATTTAGAATTGAGTGTTTAACACATTTTACATGTGATAAGTAATCAGCTCCATGAAATTTGTGTAGGCTCTAGTTGAAGGGTAACAAGAACTTTATTTACCTTCGTTAAACAGCTAGTTGTATGAAATGTGATCACTTAGGTTTCTAAATCTTTTGGCTTGCACAGAGTAGCACCTTGGAACTGTTTAATAAAGCCCATCGGATCGGTCTCCTTAAGATTAGAAATGGACCACGGACTGACCGCATCTCGATGATGCTCCAAAACATGAAGGTGATGGTCAATGCTTTCAATGCTTTTTTCGACGTATTTTTGACTAACCCCTTCGAAGTATACACCATGTTCCAATCACTCCAGGTTGGAAACATACTTTTTAGGATGAGCCAGGTTTGAGAGTATCTAGATTTTGGTCAGGGAATTATTTGAAAAGAAAAAATTGGTGACGTACGGATAGAGGATAGGATTATGGCCAGTTTTATTGGGACCGCAAGAATCGTGGTTACTGGAGATTAATTTAGAGTTATTAATACTGTTTTGAACTTCTTGAGGCCAAGCTATTTCAGGTTGCTTTTTGAATTCAACAGTTGTTAAATCATTTGACAAAAGAGGCTTAATAAGTTTCAAACTTAGATTAATAGCATTTTCAGTGGCTAGGGAAAAAGGTGAATGACAGAGCATTTTATTTGGGCCAGATATAGCGAAGAAATTGGGGAAGCCACCCAATACTGTACCCATGTACATCTGAGGCCCTCCTATTTCGGGAGATATATCATGAAGCTTTTTACCGTCTTGACCGACAACCTCAAAGGGATAGGTCCATGAATCTGAAGATAATTCATTTGCGAAAATAATAATATCCGCAGGTATGGTAACCTTATGACTTGGTGCTCTACTTGAAGTATCTTTGAGGTCTGGGTATGTTCGTCCAGGGCCAAGTGTAATATCTTGCTCTCCAAAATGTGTGAGAGGTAATGTCGTTAATACAACTGCTGGATTGTTGAGGGAGGAGAGCCATGCGTTATCAAATATTCGGTTATTACTAGTCTCGTATCAGAAGTTTAAACGGTTGTATAATGGGTTATACTAACCGTTGAATAGCATAATTAGGTGTTAAAATCTCGTGGTATTTCTTTGGAACAGTTTTCTTCATGTGTTCCAAAAGATCCTCTTCCAACTCTTTGCGTCGCTGTATGTTGCAAGTAGATGAATCAAGAGATACTTGCCATTCATACTCAGCACCAATAGCAATGATATATCGAGCCAATAAACCGACGCTTGGAACGTGAGTGACAAGCCATCGAATTCGTTTGTTCCAGTCACTTAAAAAAGGAGATGTAGACAGAGGACTGACCCATGGTGGTGATCTCATCAGCTGAGTTACTGATCTAGCTTCATACTCTTTTATCAGGAGCGGTACAAATTGAGCTGCACTGCTGCCGGTGCCAACCACGATGATTTCCTTGTCTTTAAGATCGATATCGTATCGCCATCGTGAGGAGTGAAATATCTCCCCTTTGAAGACATCTTTCCCAGGAATCTCGTTTGACAACTCTTCTGGTTTCAAGGGGCAGCCCACGGCGCTCACAAGGACCTTGACACGAATTTTTTCATGAGTATATCTCGATTCTGGTTTAATTTCCTTGGTTTTTTGGTTTCGTTTTTGTTCATTAAGATCCTCGGCCCCTAATATTAGATGTCTTAATGTAACTTCCCATACAGATTCCGACGCTAGCCACCGACAGCCTTCCACTTCAGTATTCAGTTGTATTTTATCTACTAGCTGATACTGCATGCAAGCGTCCTCAAAATACTCTATTATCTCACTCCCGCTTGGAGGGAGAGTAGTCATTTTTGAGCTTTGATAAAATGGAAAGGAATAAAGAACACCTGGGATATCACAAGTAGTCCCAGGGTGTCTATTACTCCACCACCTACCACCAATTCCATTTTGCCGTTCAAAGATGCGAAATTGATCAAAGCCGAGTTCCGCTTTAAGACGACAGCCCATGGAAATGCCAGATTTACCGGCCCCAATGATTACTAGAGGATAGTATGTGTAATTTTCTGAAGTCAATCCATAGTGCCTTCTAATAGTTTTTCCGTTTGCCTATATTGAGCTTAGCTTGGCAACAATTTTTTTAGATTATATAGCGTAGGCCTCTACTCACTGTAGTATGGTTTGCATCTGATCCGAAAACCATGGCTTCAATATCTCAACGTCTACGCTGAATTTTGATTGCTATCGTCAGTAAACTAAAGTAAATGTACAAACTTCTAACAATTACTATTTAGTACTCCTTAATATTGAGAATGTATGATAATTTTCTTCGAATTCGCTTGATGTGGACATGTAGATATAATTACTTGAAAGCACGTATGGATCCTAAACCGCTTGTGGAAGTTTAACTTAGATATGATTTAAGGTAAGTATGAGAGTTTATGGTTGCCTGACACTAGAAATATCTACGACTCATAGTGCAACTTTCAGCTGTTTATGATTCAACGATCAAATCTTAGTTTGAACAAGGATAGGATCGTCACTCTTGTTGATCCAGCCCCTACGTATGCTTATCTAAATCATGCCTGACTGCAAGTTTTAAAAATGGTAGTGTACCAATACTTCAGGCACCGTAATATCCTGTCTATTATATTATTGAATTACATCCACCACCAGCTCACACCCCCATCACAACAGATTCAAACTTTTTTATTCTTACTCACGAACAGATCCCTGGTCACTCCGGCAAGGGCGAATTCTTCACCTATCAGTGGTGCTAATGTAATTGCTCAATATGTTCTGCGTATCTGGGTTAGCCAAGATGAATCGCATCTGAATCGAAGTCGAAATCAACCACAAGAATATCTAACAATCGACGACTTCTCGTCAATTTCGAACCTGTCTTTCTCATGCGAGTCCTCTGCCTCGTTCTTGCCATACCACCTCAACTAAATTAGCGGCAAAGGCGTTACTCCAATTGCAATCGGGCATTTGCCTCATCAAAAACCGGCCATCTCCCACTATAAAGTTACGATGTTATTTATACCTGAAGGAAGGCTACTAAATCAAAATATATAAAGCTCGGGTATTTGTCTATGGGCGAACCATTGCTGTAATAGAGCTTGTTATCCTCAATGGAAATAGGTAGTTGGGATATGAGACGAACTGTTGAAGAGGTCACAAACGGACGTTCTGTGACGCACATTTTCCGGGTGTTTTCGACTTTGTGGTGCTTGTTGGCGCCTAGGCTACGATTCGGATAGTGCCACCGGCGAATTAAATACAGGCAACGATGAAAGGTGTTGTAGTTTGCCTCCTGGTCATCATTTCTCTGAATTAAAGTCTGGGTAGCCTGGAAACCTACCTCACTCGAGAAAAGGAGGACTGTGAGGCCATATCTGGCGCGGCAGCTATATACAAGGTGACAAAGGCATGCCAGGTTAGTCAAAGGTTTTTCCTGATTTTCCTATGGTGGATATAAACAATTGAGCAAAGGATTGAGACCCCCTAGCACAAAGCTCTCGAGTGATATCAGAGAATGCTCCCACTATATAATTGGTCCAGATGTTAAACTGACTTATGGTCGTATATTATCGTCGGGGGGCCGGCAAAGGCGGATCCTCCACCCTTCAGTGGTGCCGGTGTAATTTCTCAGTACGCTCTGCCGATCTGGGATAGTCAAGAAGAATTACAACTGAATCGAAGTCAAAACCAACCTCAAGCACATTTCCACTAGACGAATTCCCAGTATTGTCGCTCTCACCACACATCATCCTGCTTCAACGACTCATAAATGAGTAGCTTCAATTGCAAATGGGAGCTTACCCCATTAATTATCAGCCATCTCACAATAAATATTTATGATGCTATTTATACCCTCAAGGAGAAAATTAAGTCATAATATACAAAGTTTGAGTCTTGGTTCATGGGGGACTGATTCTCTAATGGGGTAACACATCTTGAGGAAGGACAGGCGGCTGAGATGTGGAACGAAAGGGGGAACATATCTCTGAGGATCATGCTGGTACTGACACTTCCGAGTGATTTTCAACTTCGGAACGTTTGTGGGCGCCCAGACTAACTTTTCGGAAAATTAGCCAGGAGGACTTCAATTATCGATGAGTTAATAGCACTCCTCAAAGCCCTGGACGGCACAAAAGAAATTGGGCTAAGCTACCATACAGCAATCACGCTATGTCAAGACTTTTCTGACATTTCGGCACGACCTTCGGGAAGAAGGCTAAAAAGGCAGAGTGTAAATTTCCCGAGGTATCCACAAGTCTGCAGCGCCCAGCAATCCGGCCTCTTCGAACGCTTCAGAAGGATCATTATGTCTTCGGATCTAGTCCTAATGTCTGTATTAGGAGAGCTCCGCACTCAGTGGCTTTTGCGATTATTCCAGGCTACTACTGTGAAGGCTATTGCCTTGTAAATGGGATCCGGGGTTTATCCGGCATCTATGAGTTGATTATGTCAGCGATAAGCGAGACAACATTTAGGGGTTGATTTTACAATCATGAAGATTTCTTCTATAGAAACAAAATAACCCCATTTTGGATTCACCCTTGCGGAAAGCTATTCGCTCTGGTGCCATCCCTTCACAACTTTACATTTTCGAAGGGATTGGATGGTGTAGTGGTACACAATTTGGACTGTTCTCCCAAGTAGATAATCGGTAGCTTGAACACCTACCCCATTTGAGCCAGGAGAAAGCTGGTTCGCATCCCGTAAACCCAACACACCACATTCTCATGCGGTGATATTGTATTTGTGGCATGATGAGTGCACACTCGTATAACCACAGGGTTTCCAAGCTTTTCCCTGTGGTAGGCATGCACGGAGGAGGTTATGTGCCGTAAGGGTTAACCTCGAGTGATATCTGCAGAAGAAATTTGAGAGTGATTGTTCAAAACGTTGAATTGAGACATCCTACTTAAAGTACATATCTTCGGCTAAACCCGCATGGGACCCAAAGCACCAAATCGGGACAATAGAATCATTTCATTACACAGCTGCAAATGCCCATCGTCATGTTGGCTGGAGAGGTGAGATAATGAAGGTCAAGAGGCTCCGCTGATTATATGTTCGAAAGAGGACCTGTGAGGGGTGGTATTGTTTGAGGGGGTCTGTATGGAAGGCACAGGAGGGAATATACTACTGGTAAAGGTATCCTTGGCCTATAGATAGAGAGGACCTACATGTCCTACATAATCACAGACAAAGACAGGACAGGGGGACTATTCTCAACACCTGTCAGTGGTGTCCCCTACGTGCCTCCAGCCCTCACTGTAGAGTCTGCAGAGCCGAGATTGAGTAACACCTTTTCAACTTTGAACTGAGTTATCTTCCCCTCTGTCAAAGATACACTTGCGATAACACATAAGTCGACCAAGACGATGATAATGATGCTGGGAATGATGAAAGATAATGCGGTACCAAACGCTACAACGGTAGTCAGAGAAGCCCTCATTATACCACAGCATGTGCTACCCTTCGGCGGGCGAACAAAAAGCCCACGAAAGCAAAGTAAAAGACCCTTCCGCCCTTAAGAAAAGCAGATTTCGAATCGTCAAAAATATCGTCCCTACTAACCTTAACTTCCGAATCTACTAGCCAGGAGGGCATCTGAAATACATGAGTTACCCGACGACCCCAAGTCCGTAACGACTTTTGGATGCTAGGCTAGGCTCCTTCACGTCAGTCACTCTCGACCAAGACTTTTCTAACATCTTTTCATGACCTTCGGTTTGTGCTGCAGCATGAATCAGGGAAAGAGGAAGGAAGAGGCCAGGAAGGTTGCGAGACACTCTTAGGTATACACAGGTCTGCTGCGCCCGGCTGGCCGGCCTCTTCGTCATAGGAGAGCCCCGCACCCAGTGGGGTTTGAAACTTTACCCTGCAGCTACACACCCGCAGATGACAATCGCTTCATTGGCTGGAGAGGGAGATAATGACGGGATAAGGGCTCCTCTTAGTGTGTACTCGAATGAAGACTTGTAGAGGTATTTCGGCTGGAAAGAAGTCGTGAAGGAGGCATAGATACTCCCGGCCTTTAGGCAGAAAGGACCTACATGTCCTTACATAGTGATAGACTTTTTAGGACAATAAATACATACACACACATAGACAGGACAGTAAAATGAACTAAAATCCCAAAGTAGCCAGAGATCCAAATTCGAAGCGAGGACATCGGGCTTAAATCGTATTTATACAGAAGAAAACTATACGGAGTCTACGAGCCTTGTTGTCCATGTTGCTATCAATCACAACACCTCAAGCACATGGTCATGCCCTGCCCTTAGTGGTCAAGCGGTAGGAGTGAGATCTGGAGAAAACCCCGAAATAACTCCTTTGAAGTATTGATAGATAATCCTGATATTAATAGAATTGTGCAATGAATTCTCAGCCATGGATAGATAGAACAATTCCTTGTGGCAAATTCAGTCGAAATACAGCTTAGAGAACGAGGTATGACCGGCACAAAGATGGCACTACAGTGTGATTATGCTTGCTGAAGGATAAATTATAAATTTTAAAGAGATATATCAGAAAGCTGGGGAGGTTTTCACCGAGAAGTTTCCTCCCATGTAAATATATAGGTAGGTTTATAGACACCTGCATGGGCCCATAGGGCGCCAAATTAGGTTCATGAAATCAAACCAAAATCAAAAATGAATTAATAGTAACAGTCGTCGGGGAAGGACATGTCTTCTTCGTGTCATGCTCTATGAGTGCTAGGCTTGCGCTTATCACAATTAAAAATTCAATCATTCAAAAAAACCAATCTCAAAATTCGGGGCAGAGAATTTACCTTGAGTACTCCGATGCGCACATAATATCATAAAAAGCTGCAGAGCAGAGATAACCGGTATCGATAATTGATCTCATATAGAATGAGTTATTTATTAAACAATCTATCAATAAATGCTCACTTTTTCAATCTGCTGAGAGTCTGAGGGCGATGTATTGGGAGACGTCACCTTGTGAATAAGTACTGATTAGTATGGGAGAGTTCAATAGATCATTTGATAGAGTAGGATGATCTAATGATAGTGGATTTTAGATGTGGAGGTGGATTATGGTAATAAGTGTAAATAGGCCCCATCTATGTACATAATTCCTCACCCTTGTTCCTCTACATATCATTGTCTGTAAAGCCAGTAACTTCAATGGTGTTATCAGTCTAATGAGCGTGCTGATATT